TTCCCCCCCCCCCCCCCCCCACTTGACCGTGTCCATAGGTCTCGAAGCATCCCTTTGGATTCGTCCAACTTTTTTCCGTCTCCGGTTCGCGCCTTGTAGCAAAGATGCGAGTCGATGTGCACCCAGGGCCTGGGCCCGGCAAACTTCACTCTGGCCGCTTTTTTGTGACCGTTCTTCGGTGTCCGGGGGCTTTATTGTGGCCACAGGCACCATAAAGGGAAGCCTTCCGCACTCTTACCTCGTCAGACATGCCGCTCTTGACCCTCTGTTCCTGTCTGTCTTCTTTTTGTCTTCTTTTCAGATGCTGACCCAGCGCATCGCATGCAGGGGCGCCAAAGTCTCTTCTTCCTGGCTTCTGTCTCTTTTGCCGTCTTTCTTTCTTGGCTCCTTCTGGGGGGGGCAGTGCTCGGACCTCGCCTGGTATGCGCCCCTAGAAACCATACTGTCCCATGCCTTAAAAGAGAATCAATGAATGTGGCCCCGGCTGGACCTGTAAATGACCTGATTATCCTGATTTCCGGACCGACTCTGATGGAAATCCGCAGCTAAAAGGTATCTCCTCTGAAGCATCGGATCCACTTTTTGTGTGCGCTCACGCATTGTGGCACGGACGGATGCTACGGCAGAAGCCTGGGCTCCTGTCTGGGGGCGGGCACCCCGAGAAAGAAAGGAAGGGAGAGGACGATGAAGAGATGGGGTTCGGCTCACTGGCAAATTTAGGTGTTGGCTTGTCTGTGTTCTGCTTCTTCGGGCTTTGCTTTTTCCTTGGTGGCTGCCCTTCGGGATTCGTGTCCTTCTCAGACCCCTTCTGGTTTCTCTCATCGACCTTCCGACAATAGGTCTCACAGTAGGAATGGTGTGCTTGCTGATGAAGTGCGTGTTGCGCCGTTCTCGTAGTCCTGGGTCTTGGTGCACCAATAGGCACAGTGAGAGGGCTTAGAGCAGCTTTCTCGACACTAGCACTCGCATTTCTCTCTTTGCGTTCTTCTTGTCATTACGTTTGAATGCCAGTCAGACCCAGCACAACCCCAACTTCAGCCTCGACTGGGGTTGACATCCTCATCAACAGCAAGCCCAAATCAGCAAATCATCCCCAGCCTCTGCCTGAAACTCAGGGACTCAGGGTCCGGCGGGAAATCCGGAGGCGGTGCACGTGGAGGCTGGACTCCTGACAGCTCCAAAGCGGGCCGCGGGCTGGGGAGAAAGCCGAAAGTGCTGGGTTCTCCCTGGCTCCTGCGCTCTGTGCGCCGACGAAGTTGGAGGCGCTCTTCCACGCCCCTTGTTTCCTTGGGTGGAAACATGGGCAGAAAGAGGCATGTGCGCGGCCTAAATCGCAGTTCTTGCGATTGTTTGTTGTGGCATGGCTGGGTCTTCGGAGCTACAGCGTCTTGTGGAGAGCAGGATGCACGACTTATGCTACACGTTAATTAAAACAACCGACACTCAAGGCTCTGACGTGTGGAGGAATTCTCTGTCAACACGACTCTAAGAACGAGCCTTCAACCATCGATGCTGGCAAAGGTCACTTCCAAATGGGCGCCTGCGACTCCTGAGACCATCAGTTCAGAGGTCTGAAAACTTCGGATTCAGAAGCAAAAACCTTCCCAATGTCGCACGGACATGGTAGTATTATCGCTCAGCGCTCTTCGGCACCGAGCTGCTCCAGAGCCGTCTGTCTTTCAGTGCTAGGATTCTAGGCTCGGCCGGGCTCCAAGCCTTCGCCGGCTCCCTTCAGCAGCATTGCCTGGAGACAAGGCTGAACCCCAGTCCTGCAAGCCTCAGCCCTCGAAGCGTGAAGCTCACAGTAAGTGCGCCCAGCAAGAACCAAGAATTTCAGATCACTTCGAACGAGGCCCAAACGTAGAGGTTCTTCCGCCCAGGCCCTGCTCCAAGGGACTCGGGGGCGATGGGCAGATCTCCAGAGTGTGCGCGAACCTGATGCAAAGAACCCAGAAGCTCTTTGGGTTGTGGAACTCCAGCTTTGCATCAGGGACTTTCTTTTTGCCAAGCCCCATATTACACCAGCGAGTTCAATGCGGTGCATGCGATGGAAACACTCTTCTGCAGCTCCAGCAGTTATGCTTAACGTTGTCGTCGTCATGCGCGTGAGAACAAGCAGTTTGAGAAGATGCGTGACATGCAGCTCCGTATTCGACAACCCAATCTTAAGGTAGCCAGAAATCAGACCGCTTCGTTCTACGACGCCGTCATTTTGAACTGAAACCTGGACACTGAAGCTGAAATGAGACAACCCCAATGAGGGCCAGACATTTCCGGGACTGCCTCCCTGCAGACCTCCCGCCACGAAAGACGTTGCAAGCGATACACATGTGGCTGTTTGGAAACTCTACTCAACCCAATACGTCCGCTTCCAGATCCTGCTTCATCCGAAGACACAAGGCGACCTTCTATCAGGATCTGTCCTACCAGCACAGCAGTGCGCAGCACATGCAAGAAGGATGAATTGCCAGCCGAGTTCAATCCATCTGACTCTAGCCATGGAGGATTGTTCAAAGCACGAGCCGCATGTACCTCGGATCGTCCTTGTGGCCTTGTTAGATACCTTTCGCATGTCCTCACAACATTGAATGCCCAGGCGCGCCTATCCGTCCTTTCCTGCCTCCAATCCACATGGCTGAGACCGCGCTGCTTAGCTACCGTACAGTCAGAAAAAGGGCACCAAACATCAAGGACGTCTTGCGACCTGCACGTATTCTGTCATTCCACATGGCAATGCAGCAGTGCCCTGAAGCCAAAGACGGCGGATGAAGCCCAAATTCGGCTTGACGGAAAACACTAATCGACGAGCTAGCCGCTTGTCAGGATCATGGAGTAAAAACGGAGTTCTTGCAGCATCCGCAGCAGAGGAAGGAACCCTTCATGGACAACGGCCCCAATGTTCTAGGGGGCTCAAGGGCAGCTTAGGAGTTCCGGCTTTCGATCATGCTGCCCGAGTCGAGTCTTACAAGTACGTAGAGGAGTCCGCCCTGCCACAGCGGAGCGGGGCACGTTGAAGAAACGGAGCAACGGTGTAGGCAGCCCGAGTTGAGGTCCACTGCGGGAGCGACAAAAAAATCAGCACGAGCACGAATTTAAATCACGGTCTGCTCAAGGGCAGCCGGCCTTGCAAAGGGTACAGAAGTCGCTGCAGCTGAGATTGGTGCCACATCCGAGTCGGCTGCTGCCACCAGCAGTGACAAAGCCTGTGCGCAAGTGCCAGTGCTTGGAGCTTTTGTCGCACTCGTTACGGTGCCTCTTGCCCTGCACCAGTTTTCTTGCGAAATGTCTCCACCGGCGCTGTCCTGAGCCCTCAATGAAGCATGAAAGAGCAAACCTTTCTCGAGTCCTGCCAGAGCCTTTACAGCCTTCTCGTGAGACTTCGAGGGCGCGCTCCTCCACGTCGAGGGCCGAGCTTCTTGAAATTGTTGACCAAGCAAGGGACTCGCCGGTAAAAAGGTGCGTTGCTGGCCCTTCAGAGGGTCGCGCCAGATCAAAGAGTATAAACAGTTGAGTATCCCACGGAACTGCAGGGAAGCCTTCTAAGGGCCTGGCAGCCACAAAGGTTCGGAAGGGGATGCAGCGTAGTGCGGGTTAGGGGTAATAGTTGCATGCCTCTTTACCAGCATAGCACAACTTACACCATCATGTTTCCTCGTACCTTCACTGGTTGTACGATCTGACATACCAGCCCTGGCCCACCTTGTTACACGCATGCTTCCAGGATCCTTAGAAAACCATCCCGAGCAGAGCACCTCAAGCATCGCCGCTTAGCAGCTCCGCTCTCTTGATCGCCGAATGTCTGTAAAACTTGCTCTGGCGCTTTGCAGGTTGATAAGACCTAACTGCACGTCGCTGCACAGTTGGGGATCCGACAACCCGAGACCCTCTCAAGTCACAAAGACAAAGAAAACGAGAGATACAGATAGAGACCGAGAGCGAGCGACAACGAGCAGACGCAGCTGCTGTCCAAGTGTTTATTTGGGTCCTGTTAGCTTCGTTACCGACGCATCATGAGGAACCTATGAAACAGAACAAGGGCAGAAACCAGAACAAACTCAGAACCGTCCATTTAGCCTTCGCGATCTTCTAAAGGTGGCTCGGACGTTCCTGCCATGACAATCACCAATGGCCACACGTTTGTAGTATGTAGTGTGGGGCAATGATGTTAAGAGTTAAGAGTTTGATGCAGGCTGAAGTAGCATCAAGTGTTTCGGGAGCCGAATGTTCCGCAGACTTTGGCTTGTCGGCGGCATCACAAAGATCCTGCCCGGAAACAAGCCAGAAGCGATCGATTGGCTTCCGTCTCTGTGTGCAGAAGCGCAGGTGACCAGAAAGCGCGAGGTTAGAGTGGACGTTCTAGTTACGGCGTCCATGCCCTTGCGACATGAATGCTTTGGGCACTGCTAGTTCTCATTTACCTGTGACAGCTCGCGAGGCTGGCACCAGGAACTGCAAGATTTTGCGCTGGGATCTTCCTTGTAATGCCTCTTCTAATTCCTCTCACGTCCCCTAAGTAGGGACCAGATGAACTCCTTACGAAGCTTATGGTTCATGCTCTGCAGAAAGGGTTCACAGTGTAAAATGGTTTCCGCGACCATCGGGGCTACCGAGCTTCCTTCCTGGCATTCCGAAGCCGCTTCTGCACACAGCGCTACTTTGCATCCTCTTCCTGGTTTCGCCTCGGTACCAGTAGTAAAGCTGTCTCTCGCTGAAATTTCTTTAGCTTACGTCCCGAATGGCTGAACCAGGTGAGTCCCGAAGCATGCAGTCGGCAGAGACGCCAATTGGGGTTGATTACCATCACCGGGCCTGTGCGAAGTGTGCCACACCGAAAACAAATCGGGTGCCCGAAGCCTTGTTACAGTAAACCTTAAAACTAGAGAGGCGATACTTCTCGGGCCTGGACAGCCTCGAAGAAAGCTAGACAAAACTTCCAATTGTCAAAGCCCCTGCTTGATGTGGCTAGCTCGCTTCCATGACTGCGATGGGCTCGTCTCAGCACATCCCGGTGTCAAGCCAGTCATCGCTGGCTTCATCCCAAGAGGATTCTCAGTGGCGGGCTCGCTGAACATGTCATGCAAGCAATCAGGACTCGGGTCCAACCGTCCAACATTACAGTGCGGGAAGTCAGCGCCACGCGCGATGCAGCCTACCAAAAGACAAGGGCACTGACGTGGATTTGGAAGTCCGAGGCTTAGCAAGTCTGCCTCATGGAAGTTCTGGCGCCTTCAAGGTCTTACTGAGGCGATTGCAGAAAAAATGCAGCCAAGGCAACAAGTGGCAATAACCAACATGATCCTGGATGTTCCATCTGCTGGGGTAACAGCAAAGTGACCTTTGATATGCAGAAGAAGATCTTGTCTATCTACGAACTTTGGCAGTTTTCAGAAACCTCTTGGGCCATGCCAGCGGCAGGCTTAGACGGCCACTCGGGCATCGTCGAATGACACGTCAGAATTCTCACAGTCCGTCTGAGCAAGGTGGGCCAGCTGCAGGCTTGCAGACCAGCTGACACTGTGTTTACTCTCGGGCTTCTTTTCAGCTTATCTCTGTCGGACCACCACGCAAGCTGTCGAGAGACATATCTGTCCCCCCTTCCCTACAGTTCCGTGCAGGCCATTTGCAGGGTCTCGGAATGCTTCCCGGATGTGTGAATTTCAAGAAACCAATGTGAAAGAGCCTGCAAGGCGATGGAACCTTAGGGACTATGCTGAAATGCATCCATCCACTCACTTGTCGGCCACTTGCGCTCACCACTTGAGTGCCTGTCCCGGCAACCCAGGTGTCAGTGATCGCTGCTATATGCTCACCGGCCTTCCTTGCAGCCAACATCAACGGAATGGTGTCCGGCCGCCTGGCCTCTGCGTGCTCACGACCAGCCGCTTCCGTCTCCCTTTGGGAGTACCTACAGTCGCAACCGGCCAAAGCGAAGCTAGAGGCTTCAGTTCCAGGCTAGCTCCAGGCATCACGGGGTGGCCCCCGACCTATAAGACACCCGAGTCCCCATACAAGCTTGTCAGCAGCTTGTCTCTTTGTGGCAACTGCTTTTGGGGATGGGAGCTCAGCCCCCAATTTGAGCACCCAATCCCTCAAAGTCGGCAACCCCGACCTCGCTCCGCCAAATGAAACTCAGAGCCTCGCCTCGAAGCCATCGATGGGGCCAGCCTGCATATCAGTCGTTTCCGTGGAGTGCAACGTGTCTGTGGGCGAGGTGTGCTCTTGGCTTACCGGGTCACATTGACATGAAATCTGAGACACACAGTGTGATCAGTGTTTCTAGCATGGGCGAAACCTCAATTACGAACAATCATGGCTAGGGTGTAGCGATTGCCTTCAAACCCACCTCGCAGCGACCTCGCATGAATCAAGATGCTTGCACGCGACAGCCCAGAGACAGTCACGTTTGCTAGTCGAGGAGACTCATCTGGCACAGTGTCGCCTCTATCCTGGCTTTGGCCTGCTCCACCACCTGAAGGAAACAAGTGGGCATGATCATACCAAGCTCGGTTTGCAGATCGCATGTCCTGTAAATTCGATACTCATGCCACTCGCCGAGTCTCTAGCCGTCTACATGCGACGGCACCCATCGTATGGATAGTCTCAAGCGGACGATTCCAGTGTCCACGATATGCAGCAGGATGGCGCCGAGAGTCAGGGTGTGCTAGAACAGCTGCGTCAGCATCAGTCATGTCGACCCGCCTAATACGTGACCTGAATGGTAAACACCCAAACACACCTACCATGCAGAAAGGGAATCTGCAGACCAGAGCGTGAATGTATCCAAGGCTTGCTGCCCGCCACCCAGACAGCTAGCCGTACAAGCTCTGCATCCCACACAAGGAAGAAAGCCAAACGCCCAGCACAATCCCCGGCTACACCTCTCGGCGAAGCGCCGCGCAGCCCCTCAACCGCCGCGACAAAGAGGCAAAAGCGGCTAAAGCCTGCCGGGTCAACAGTCGCTGCGGGATTTTCGATGGGTCCTTTGGGCATTTGCTGGAGGGATTTGTGAGTTGAGCGTCCGTGCAGCCTCTCCGATGTGCCTTTCCGAACCCTGAAACGCCTCGCCCTGTAAGCTTCCACTGGGCCTCTTCGAGAAAGTCGGCCAGGTGCTCGGGCTCTAGGGTCGGAACCTACGGCAACACGAAAGCAGCACAGTGTAACCACTGCGTAAACTGTAATGCCCTGCCCCCGCCCTGTCTCTGTGGTGCCTCGACATCCACCGAAGAGCCGGATGAGAGAGGCGAGGTAGCAACTGAGGCCGTGGGACGCATTCCAATGGAACCTCGGGCCTGGCCTACATGGCCTGTAACATTCCGAATCCACAACACAGCCTTTCCTCACCCCGGGACCGTACGAGTACCAGGAAGCTACGCTCGCCAATGCCCCTATTCCTTGCGGACGTCAGGGCCTGGAGAACTCGGTCCGGCTCCTTGTTGGGAGGCCTCTAAGGCCTGCGCAGGACAAGTGCAACTGCTGCGGAGCTGAAACTCACTAGTCTCTCTTGGAACATTTGTCGGTCAATGAGCAAAACCCGATGGAGCCAAGTTGAGCAAATTGGTGGCTGTTCACACATGCGCTCATTCTGCATGTATCTGCTGATTCATTTACCGGTCTGTCTGTCTATCTGTCTAGCTGATTCTCTGCCTTTATACCGATGTATATACGTATTCACACCAACATTGCATGGCATTATTTAAACTGCAGAACTCAGTACACTCACTGCATGGCACACAACTGTGCTTACCCACATAAACGCATCCATTCATCCGTCCATCCATCCGTCCTCAGAGATAGGGATGAGCTAAAGAGTTGAGCGATGGAGTCGAGCGAAGCGATGCAGCAATGCAACGGGGCTGGTGAGCTTTTTCCTGTACAGAAGCTCTTAGTCGGCACCAGGCCTAAGCCGGCGAGGGGTCCGTGCAGCTTGAGCTTGTCGCCGGTCTGTAATTTTTTTGGAGGTGCAGACAGAAAAAGACAAGCAACTGGGAGCCACTTTACAAGCTTAAGGAACTGTTCGGCTCCTGCGTGGGCAACGTCTGGGCGCCTCTTCGCATCTTGGCAATCCTGCAGCAATCTGGTCCACTGTCATGCAAGAGGCCCTCTTCAGAGTCTTCAACAGCTCCTGGAGAGCATCCACCGCGTAAAGTTCGTGGCCTTCTTGCTTGAGGTTGTCACTGCTTCTGTTCAAGAACGGTGCCCACAG